CGCTCGAGTGATAAACTGGGGAGATCCAAGAGAGCAGACAGTGGGGCACAGGGCCTCAATGCGAACTATCTGCAGAAGATAGTCACGGGGGGGCCCCCTGGTGACTACAGGCCGCTGAGGCCGTTGAGAAGGCAGCTGGGCCTTCTTTAGTTGTCCTTAGAGGACAAAATAGCCGTCAATTGCCATTCATAGGATAAATAAAAGGAGAATAAATGCGAAGGATAAAACTGCAACAATCGACGCCTCGGGGGTCTACGGGGCCTCTCCCCCTTGACCTTCTGTGGGGCGGCGTTCCGTCGACAACTGACAAGGGAAATATGAATTATTTTCAGTGATCTCCCCCCCTATTTTGACCAAACTTCAATTATATTTAATAAATATAATTCAGAAATAAGGCGGAAATTATACAGGCACGCAAGCCCCGCTGTGGGCCACGGCGCCCAGGCGAAACACGTTCTCGTACTCTCATCTTCCTTCAGAGTTAAGTTTGCCGTCTGAAATATATAAATTTTGCAAGGGTTTTATTGTTCCATTACACGAAATGCAATATGCAATAAGATCTTCAGTAGTCATTTACACGAATAAATAACTACGCTGCTGGCCAGTGCTTGCTCGTCGAGACCTCATTAAACTTGTATTGTGTACTTGTATCGTGTCTTGCTTGTTTTGCGTGTTTATTGCTTTCATGTCTGTGTGACACGCATTTATAAACCGAAATTTGGGGGTAAATGTTTCCTTTTATGTCTCGCTATTCATTAACTCTCTAATATGTTCCAGCTCGTGGTGTGTGACCACACACATTGTGTAGGGTTCTTTAGCAACGGGCATGCTATTGCTGCTGCTGTTGCTTCTCTGTTTAAAGAGAAAAGACATGCCCTTGAAGTTATTTGTTTACGGAGTGCACTTATGCTTGCTTATCTCTGTTTCTCCTTTGCACTTTGCTCCGTTGCTTGCACAAGTCTTGCTTGCGGGGTTCCGCGAAAATTATACTGAAAGCGGCATTTGTTGCGCATTGGACTCTGATAAAATTCTGTGTAATAAGCCATTCTACAAATTCAACCAAATTCCACAGTGGACTGAACAAAACCTCAACATTTACCTTTACAGGGATCAATGCGCGTTGCGCGACGCTCGGAAAACAAACTCTGAACGCTAATACCGTTTACCCCCTGCCAGATAGCTGGTGCTCGCTGCTTTTCCAGAAGCTGAGATATATTGAATTCGTTCTCAAACCATCTTGGAAACGAAAAAGTGTACAACGGTAGGGATGCGATATGAATCGAAAGTGTCCGAGATATTCCTGCAATACATGAATATATACAAAGTGCACAGTGATGGCGCTCTAATCTAGTTGCTGTCACAGTTTGCCTCCAACTTCGCTCCGTTTTCCCTCCTTTTTCAAGATATATTTGTAACTACCTGCATGTGTATACATGTCATACGGGAGACTCTACAACCTTGCTGCTGTGGCCGCTAGCCTCCAGTTTGTCATCATTTTAAGCCCTCACCTCTGAGGCGATTACTCCTGTACGGTTAGTCCGATGTTTCGTATTTGTGTTGCTATACACCTCTGTTTCCTATCTTTGGAGCGACGAGCAGCTGGAGCACCAGAAGACTGGATACCTGTTCCTATTTTTTATAGTCTGACACAGCTATAGTCTCGCCTATTCAGCTGCTGTTTACGCATGTTTCCCTAAGATTGGGGAGTACTGATGGACTCCCATACATGCAAGGCGCGCTGGAGAGGAGAAAGAAAGTGCCGATATAGCAGCCGGCTTGCTTGCTGCGTGGCTGCAGCACGGGAACGACCACGCTTGTGGGTAACATATGGGCAACATTGAGTGCAACCGCTGGATACATATATTATATATAGTATCAAGCACTATCGCTTGTTATGATTTATTAACTGGCCTCAACGATGCTGAAGGGCTCATCAAACTTGAACCGCTTGCTCTTCTTGTAACTGCGATGCCCAGAAGGCAACACCTCAGCCGCAATTTCTTCAATCTGATTCACCAGCTTCTCCACGGCAGCTAACACAGTAATACATTTTTTATATTTAGAATACTGAAATGTATTTTTTGCGGTAAAGGACAAGACAAATTTTTATTAAAAGCAAGTTTTTTTCCATCGCCAGTGCAGGCGTCTGTGCATTTTGGAATTGCAGCAGACCCGACGATATACTTGTTTCGACGCACTTCGATCACATTATCCAATAGTGAACACTGTCGCATTCGTCTTTTGCTTCTGAGAAGGCGGTTTTGGGGTATTCCTTGCGTGCATACGGGCGCAGTCCCTATTATCTTCATTGTTGTTTTTATGTACATCAATCGACTTGATGGCCATATTCATTTCCTTCGAAGTGCTTGACTCTGAACCAGATGGATAACGAGCAGTCCACTTGAGTGACTGTGTTAGACACACTTATGCATTTCTTCGCGCAGTTCTTGTTTGTGCCTGCGTCGGCCACAAAAGTTGAGGGAGTATAGGCAAGGGGCTGCGATGCTTTACAGTTATCTGGAGTGCCGTTTATTCTGCGAATCTGTTATTCAAGCCACTTAGTGCCCTCACTTCTATGTCCAGTGGTGCTACGAAAGTCGGCGTGTACAGTGGACCGCTGCGCAATTTTAGGCGGAAAAGCAAGGGGCAAACACATGATGCCAAGCTCACTGTAGCACCGAGGTAACCAGAAATTAATATGTTCATACATCAGAGATGTACAGCCACCAGCCTAAGGAGCTTCAAGTAATTGCTCGACGAGCATCTGCGTGCTGGAGATGCCAGCTACGCAGTAATGACCGCCACGTGGTGGTCACTATGCGGAACGGGACTGCCTGATATACTGCGCAAATCATTGAAATATTCCCTCAAATGCTTTATTTTACTGACAAAGCAACGTGCGGTTGCAGTGGCTGGATTGTGTAGTGGGGCTTGGTTGTATGCAGTGGTCCGAAGTCAGGCGTCGTCGTTGATCATCATCAGGGGAGGCATTGGATTTGGTCGCCTATTGGCGAGTCTTTTCTCCGCTTAATTCCTTGATTTTTGAGGTTTTGGAATCTGTGTTA